AATGTAGCGTCCGTGGCTGATGCCCGCTTGTTTCCCGGTGCTAATGTTAGCTTAGCATTGCTATTCTGCCGAAGCTAAATATCCGTTCTCGGTTCCCATTTGTGACTAAGCGCATTCATAATGGCATGCCATCATCATGACTGGCCACGTTTGAGAAATGTACTTACTGCTCGCCTTCACGTAGCAATTGTAATTTTCTCAAAATTGTACAAGTATCACTTTTATTTTGTGAAAAACTGTAATGGAAACCCAGCTTATAAAACTGTACGGAAACTGGATGTGATAAATCACTCTAGGAATGACCAGATCTATTATAAATCCTGTGTAGCTTCAGCAGTGCTTTTGTTTGGCCATTTTGACCAAGGTGCCACAGGCAAACTGATACGCAGCTCATATGGTTACGTCTTTGATAATAAACTGTGACTAATAGCAAAAGCTGGTCAGTGTGTGTATGTGTGTGTGTGTGTGTGTGTGTGTGTGTGTGTGTGTGTGTGTGTATATATATATATTAGTTTTCAGACAATCATTTAGAATTAAGGTGGTATATTGTGAATAAAATGATTTAATTACCTCTACATTAATAATCTCTGAAAAATCTTCTAACCCACCAAGGGTGAAATTGAATTATATAGTTTATCGTTTGTCATTTGCTTATTTCTGAAAATGTTTCCTGGCTTGATGTTCAGAATTTTAGTCCCATTGTTGCATCACGTCAGTGTTTGACAATGTGTTCACAGCATGTGCCATGAATATGGATACACACACAAATTAACACTTGTATTTCAGTGCGTTCATGATAAAGTGCTGCCTCTAAGATAGAAAATATCCATGTTGTTCTTGGACCTGCATCTGTAAGCCTCTCCAGTACCTCAGCGGGAAAGAGGGCGGTGGAAACGTGAGTATGAGATATATTTTAGTTTGTTTAGTTGTTTGCAAATGGAGTGGACCCCTTCACACTCATGTCTCAGTTACCCACAGATTTTCCTACTCACGTTTTTTTCCCCAATATTTAAAACAAATATTAACTAAATCTCTCAAAACTAAATAAATAAATATATTTATTTAGTTTTGAGAGAGTCCCCTTTTTCATGGAAAACGCTTGTTGCACTCCAAAGACAAGATATTTAATGTTCCAACTGATAAACTTAATTGTTTTGACCAAATAAATTCATCATTAACTTAGGATTTTATGGCTGCCCCACATTTCAAAAAAAGCTGGGACAGGTGGCAAAAAAAGAGAAATTTGGGGAATAGTCATCAAACACCTGTTTGGGGCATTCCATAGGTGAAGAGACTAAGTGAGAACAGGTTGGTGCCATGATTGGGTATAAAAGGAGCTTTCCTGAATTGCTCAGTCATTCATGAGCAAAAATGGGGCGAGGTTCACCTCTATGTGAAAAACTGCGTGAGAAAACAGTCGAATAGTTGAAGGAGAATGCTCTTCAATGTAAAATTGCAAGGAATTTAGGGATTTCATCATCTATGGTCCATAATATGATCAAAAGGTCAAAGAATCTGGAAAATCAATGCATGTAAGCAGCAAGGCCCAAAACGAACATTGAATGCTCATTCCTGTTCCCTCTCACCTCATAAGGTAACTTGACTGGCAGAGCGCGAGAACAGACTGAGCTGTTTGTCAGGCTAGTTGCATCGCGTTCCCCACCTCCTCTCTTACATCCTCCCCTTCACTACATATAAAGTCTCGAGATTTGTTGTACATGTCTTTTAAATGCACTCTGGATGTGCTGAGGTTTTTTCTCAGGCTCAAACCATGCTTCCCACTCATTTCCAACATATGCAACTGCCAAAAGAGTTGTTGGAGTCAAAGTGGCTTCTGTGAACTTTGGGATCATTTTTTTCATCATGAAACATTTAATCCCTTAAAAGTTTGAATATCAAATTGATGAACATTGTTTGTACAGGCCTTCCTGTATGGAATTCGCATGTTAAACATGCACGGTAGGTTGATTGAATGCTCTAAATTGTCCCTATGGGTAATTGTGAGCGTGAGTGGTTGTTTGTCTTTATGTGCCCTGTAATTGGTTGTCAGCCAGTTCGAGTTGTGCCCCACTTATTGCCCAACAACAGCTGGGATTGGCTCCAGCATGCCCGCGACCCTTGCAAAGATAATCGACTCGGATAATGGATGGATAGATGGATGGATGGATGGATGGATGTCTGCATAGGAACGATCAAGAAGTGTATTCCCATCAAACATAGGAACATTGAATTCCAGTGACTGGGCTGTATTGAATGATGTAATACGACAGATTCTAATGGACACTCCGCATTCATCTGAAGCATTGTGTTGATCGTTCCATTGTATGGAAGTCAATGTCATCACCAGGTGGGGAGTGATTTTTCAAGGTTAAAATAAAACAAATCTATCCAAAGAGAAGGAGGCTGGTAAATGTGTAGAGCAATCAGACCTGGATATTACAATATATTCCTCCAAAAATGATTGTGAATTCTTCATGAATATTTTAAACCTCCACTTTTAAAATGGTCAGTTGGAATAGACAGTGTCACAATAGTATCTCCAGCTTCTTTAGAACCACCCTTTAGTGGGTTAATATTGTAAGTATAAAAAGTGTGTTAGTGTTTACACACTCCCTATCCTGTTCCACCCCTCGACAGTGCAATATGAAAAAGACAGAGCCATACCCGAGCAGACAACATTGCTGTAAAACCTGACTACTCATCAAAAGAATGAAGGCATTCAGATCTGTATGACGCTCCACTCAGACACCGACACGAGACTTATCGCTGCAGTACGGGGACTCAACAGCAATATAGGAGAATGGTCTCTTGACCCAGCAGAAATTCCTCAAATGAAAATCTTCACAGCCAACATTACAGAACCCATAAGCATAGAATTTATTCTTGAGAAGTATGACTCTGACGCAGATGGTATGGTGGCAGATATTACAATAGCCGAGCAACGCAACAGGAGAAGACCTTGGTCACTCCAGAGCCCCCACCTAATTCACCTGCATCTTCACATGATGAAGAGGCGACATACTTGGTGTGATTTGGCTCCAATAACCAGGTTGCCCCGCTAAACATACCAACATCGTCTGGATCTTTATATGATAAAGAGGAAATACTGTATACTCAGGGTTGTCCCACTCAAAGACCCCGGCCTCCTTCGCTGAGCCTACTAGAGTCACCAGAATCTTCACAATTTGAAGAAATACAGCACTCTGGATGATCCAACCCCGAGACCCTGCGAATGCTTTGGCTCTGCTGTAAATCACCCGTGTCAACGCCGTCAGCTATGTCTTGGACTAGAGCAGGGGTGTCAAACATACGGCCCGCGGGCCGGAACCGGCCCCCAAGGAGGTTCGATCAGGCCCGCTGGGTAATTTAAAAGTGAAAAAAATGCATACAAGACGCGGAATGAATATTTTTTAATAAGATGCAATTCATGGATTATCCACTAGGGGGCACCCTGTTTTGATCAGAGAAGAAGACGACAGCAGTCTCAATCTGTCACTGAGACAAGACCCAACACAGCAGTAAAAGCCAGCTACCTAATTGTTAGCGAGATAGCATTAGCATCAAAGCCGTATTCTGACGGTGACTTTGAACAGATTCATGATGAAGGCGGCTGAACTTGTTCATCCCAAGAAGCGACAAGCTTTTGCCAATATTAGCCTTACAAGGAAAATTATACCAGAGAGGATTTCGGACCTATCAGCAGATTTAGACAGAGAGTCAAGTTCATCCATCCATTTTCCGAACCGCTTTATCCTCACTAGGGTTGCGGGGGGGTGCTGGAGCCTTTCCCAGCTGTCTTCGGGCAGTAGGAGGGGGGACACCCTGAATCAGTTGCCAGCCAATCGCAGGGCACACAGAGACGAACAACCATCCACGCCCACACTCACACCTAGGGACAATTTAGAATGTTCAATCAGCCTGCCATGCATGTTTTTGGAATGTGGGAGGAAACCGGAGTACCCGGAGAAAACCCACGCAGGCCCGGGGAGAACATGCAAACTCCATGCAGGGAGTCCGGAGCTGGAATTGAACCCGGTACCTCTGCACTGTGAAGTCGACGTGCTAACCACCGGACTACCGGGACGCCGAGAGTCAAGTCATTTTGTCAAATGTTTTGTAAGATATGTTCTTTTAATTTCAACATTTTCCCAATATTCTAATGCTTCTTGATACCAAAACAAAGGAAATACATGATGTTTTGGTTATTTATAGCAGAGTATGGTGTAATTTTAATGGTCCGGCCCACTTGACATCTACCGAGGCCGTATGTGGCCCACGATGTGAAATGAGTTTGACACCCCTGGACTAGAGGAAGACTATTTTATAAGAAAACATCACGTCCATATCATACCATTCCTTTGCAATGATTGTTTTTTGTCAAATATACACTACTTGTTGAGACTCTGTAACTTAGCAGATCTAG